CCCTTCCTTTTTCCCTTCCTTTCTTAACTTTCATTCTGTTTTCTCTCCCCTATGATTATAAGAAATCCTACCCTGGGCTAACCCTCTAGCAGTGCTATAGCCTGTGGGTAGCTGCGATACTTCTAAGTTCTAAGGATGAAAGATTTGCCCCCAAACATCTTCATCTCTCTACCAGTGAGTCTATCAACCACAGATGTATTTAACTGTTTATAATTTAAGCCTGCATCATTTTTCGGGATATTGAAATTTCTAAGTCCGAAGCCTGCTGTGTAAGCAGCTTCCTCAATATATTGGTCTGATTTACTTCTTTGAAGTTTTCCAGATGCACCGCTTCCTGTTCACATCCTGGATGTGACAAGTCACCAACTCACCTTGTCCCTTCATGATCTTATAGGCCTTTAGAAACACCCTTTGCTTAGCTTTTGTCTTTCCATAGTAAAGAGCCCCAGTTTGTTTTCAGTCAGTCCTCACAGAGGAGCTGGCCCCATGACAGTCCTCCTCAGGGCCATTTTAGTCAGGAGTGCATGCAAAATCCCATGAGCACCACATTTTTTTCCTTAAGAAGGATGAAGGGCATGTTTTGTCCTTACTTTCTTTCCTAAGGAAGCCTGGCTTTTCTAGGCCAAGGGCCTGGTTCTGTTCTAAATCTTCGACCCCTCCATGCTTGGTCTTTTTCTGATCCCCAGTTCACCACACCTCCGTTGTGCCCCTTTCTCTGCCACAGCTTCCCTTCTTCTCCCACAGTGAGTTTCCTGCGCAGTGGCACTAAGCTCATCTTCCGCCGGAGACCTCGACAGAAGGAAGCTGGTCTGAGCCAATCACACGATGACCTCTCCAACACGACAGCCACATCAAGTGTCCGAAAGAAGGCTGGCAGCTTTTCTCGCCGCCTTATTAAGCGCTTTTCCTTCAAATCCAAACCCAAGGCCAATGGCAACCCCAGCCCCCAGCTCTGAGGGCCTTCCTTACCTCCTGAGCTAAAAGAGGGCAGGAGTCCTCTCAGCCCAATCCCCATGTCTCCTTCCATTCCCCTTCCTGGATTCCCAATAGCCTGGGCCAGGGAAGCTCTCTGGGTTCCAGGAAGCCCTGTCTACCTGGGGCCGTGGGGCCAGTTGGAAGGGTACTTGCAATAGGAAGCATGTGAGAGGTGAGCACCATTGCTGAGGACATAGAAGAAGAAGTGGTGGCTGGGAGTAAGAGGAGAGCTCTGTCCTGGCATGTATGGGCATTCCTCAGAAACATTTGCCTGCTGTTGACGCTGGCCCCTCAGAGGAGTCCCAGGGCGCTCGGCGTCTCAGCTGATCCTTCCTCCCTTATTTATTCTCTTTTCTATTTATATGTGTGGTCCAAGACCCTCAGTGAACAGATGATAGAGGGCATCTCTCCCAGGTGACCCTTCTTTCCTGTTTTAGGAGGGTAGGCAATTCCCTTTGGGATGGGGCTCCTATACCTCCCTCAGGTTCCCACTCTGACCAGCACCAATGTCTGCCTCTGAGGACATTGGCAGCTCATAGAAAGTCGGGCCGGTGCCCAGGATGGGGGGCAGGTACTCCCCACCTCCCTGCCTCCCCTTCCATTCCTCATCCCTCCTTCCCCCTTTATTACCATTTTTGTACTTGATGCCTTCTCCATGAGCAGTGGCTCTGTTGGAAGGAGGGATCCAGGAGCTTGGTGGGAAGCCTTCCCTGGAGAGATGGCTTTAGGGGCTTTATTTAAAGACTATGTGATGATGGAGCAAGAGCAGGGCTGCACCTCTGTGTTGGGAGATGTCCATTGCTGTGTGATGGCTTGGAATTTAATTTATTAAAGTCAAACTGGAGTTTATAAACTGGACAACTGGTTATCTTTTAAAAGGCAAAGGTAAGGCTGTTGTGTTGATGAAGTAGGAGGAACAGAGATGGGAATCTGATAGGTGGAGTAGGCGACACATGTGCTGGGTCTGCTGAGAAGTTCCTGTACTGAGGAAGGGACATTTAGAAAGAGGATGGGAGAACAAGAGTCTTTGAAGGATGAAGTTGTAACAAAAAGAAGTCGATTGGCTAGTACAGGCATCTTCATTCCCCTTTCTTGAACAAGCTGCTCCTTCTAGGATATAATAGTCCAGAATACAAACTCTGGATCTTGACTGCCTGGATCTGACTTCCAGCTTTACTAATTACCTGTGTGACCTCGGCAAGTTATGTAATGTCAGAGTGCCTCAGTTTTCTTATCTGTAAAATGGGAACTGTGATAATAGTAACTATCATTTGTAGATGAGAAGTAAATGAAGTGCTTAGTACTTTACTGGCATATAGTCAGTGATGAAAAAGTGTTAACTGTTGCCTCAGAAGAGACAGTTTGGGAGGGGGAAGTCTTAAAGGGTTTCATCATAATAAAAATTCTTGTATTCCTAAATGTTGGCTAGTTTCAGGGAGTTATGGATACTAGCAAGCTCTATGTCCCTGGTTCCTGTTCTCTGGGACCTTACACAGGACTTGAACCAGGTAAACTGCTATAGGATGGCAGAGCATTGGACAAGGGACGGAAAACCTGAGTGTGCCACAGACACATCAAGTGACCTTGAGCGGACTACTTCTCCTTTCTGGACCTCAACTTCCTTGTCTCTAAAATAAAGGCTGGCCTAGATAATCATTCAGGTTACTCCCATACTTGCCATTTGACTTATCTACATCACAGGGGGTTCAGGGTATGTGTCTTTGGATAAGCAGCATGGAGTTTTTAATATTCTCCGTGATCCTGTCCATACTAGTCATAGAATATGTGACACTTAAGAGTCACAGACTATGGATATTTGGTTTGTAAATAATATGCTCAACTCTAGGTCATGTCAACTCAAGATTTATCAAGTTACTTCCACTGATCTAAGGAATGCAAATCTTTGTGGTTCAAATCTTAAAGGAGCAGTTTATTTGTTTACCAGTATGACAAAACAGCCAAACACACTGACCCTGAAATTTCACAAGAAACTTTTATTGATGAGAGGACAGGTATTTATTAAAACAAACAAAAAACAGTTTTATTGAGCTTAATTAGCATACCCTAAAATTCACTATTTAAAAGAGTTCAATTCACGAAGTTGTGCAACCATCACCATTAAATTCAGAACCTTTTTATGAAACCCCATACTCACTAGTAATCATGCCCTATTCTCCTCTCTCCCAGCTCCTGATAACCACGTATCTACTTTCTATTCTCTGGATTTGCCTATTCCAGAGGGCAAGTATTTACATTCCCATTTGACCTATGAATTAAGTGGATGGTAACTAGAAATTGTATTCTGCTTTCAGTGCTGAGCTGCCCAGAGCTCAGTGGAACCACATATTTTGTAATGAAGAAGAGTCTGATCATGTTCAAAATAGGGATTTTAAAAATGAATGCAAAAGAGCCACAAACATAATTTAATCAATGTTATCCATTTTATACTCTCAAAAGGGATCCACAGCTTTTGATGTGTATGAATTATGCTTTAAGTTTTTGTGGCAGCTTTTAAAGAACAAATCTTAGGATGTGTATGAATTATCCAGCCAGAATTGTAGCCTATTTTCAAGAGAAGCAGATTGAAGTGGAAGGAAACTATGCTACACAGCAAGACAGTGCCTCAAATTTTGGAAATGTTGTGGATCCTGGAATGGGATTATATCCAGAGCTACTCTGAAAGTTTTGCTCTGTAAAAATCATTTGACCCTACTCAGCTCTTTGAATGAAATTTTCCTCCATGAAATTGCTAAATTAAAGCCAATAGCCACCTTCAGTGGTATAAATTTGAATTAAAATAAGATTAGCAATTCATGAGGTATTACTATATGCTTCTGAAAGAAAAAGTGATAAAATGTTTTACTGTTCAATTATATTTTAAAAACTTAAAACAAGGACAAAGCTATAATTCACTGTTGTTAATAAACTTCATGTCTAAATTCCTGTTTTTTTTACTATGACGTTGCTATTTTTAATGGCATCTTTAAGTTATTTATATTGAACATTTAATGTGTTTTCTGATTATATAAATTATATAGGCTTATTTTTAGGATTTAATAATATAACACAACAAAATAAGTATCAATCTCAATGAACTTTAGTAAGGTACAGATTTTTTTTACCAATATCTCTTGAACCTTTACTGAGTTTCAGCCACTAGGCTAGGTGACGTAGTTGAAGAACATATACAATCCCTGCCCTCCCTCACTGAGCTGAATCTGGTGCGGAATGCAGAAAATTAAACAGGCAAATACAATACAAAGTGACAGAGCTGTGACGAGGAAATACAGGAAAGAGATGTCAAGGATGACTTCTTGGAAAAAGCAGCATCTTCATTAAGACCAGAAGAATGAGTAGGAATCGGTCATGTAAGTGTGGGAGGGGGAAAAGAGGAAGATGTTTCAGGCAGAGGAAACAGCAAGTACAAGGCAGGAGAGGAAAAAGGCAGCTAGGTGTGATAGAAAAACTGCAACAGATTTGGGGCTGGAGAGTAGGAAGTGAGGTCCAGGACTCAAGACACAGCTGGAGAAGTATGCAGGACACATGCTGACGGGTCTAGAAAGCCTCAGTATGGTTTTAGGGTTTTGCCCTGAGGGCAACAGAATGCCTTTGAGGGTTCGAAGTAGGGCGGTGGTTTGATCAGACCTGCTTTCTGTAAACATCACTTTGCCCCACCGAGAATCGTTTGAGGGAAGCAAGGTGCACGCAGTGGAACCAGTTAGATTAGTGTAGACATCTACACTGGACATAGTTAATGGACTAGAGATGGGGCGGAGATTAAGAATAGAGAATGAATCTGAGATCCTGTGTTTAAGCAGGTAGAATTCACAGGACTTGGCAGTGGATTGGACGTGACGGGTGAGGGAGGAATCAAAGATGACTGCCCGCTTTCTGACTTGAAGGAGTGGCTGGATGTTCACTGAGCCTGGTAACACAAGAGGCAGAGTTGTGGTGACACAGAAATGATGGCACGGGAATACCGATATTTAAGAGATAAGATTAAAGAGGATGACGAATGAAGGTAGGACCCCAGTTTGGGCCGAAGAGGGCCGGCAGCTCTGGGTATCGAGCCGCCTCATCACTGCCAACGCGGCCAGTTAACGTACTAACCTAATTCTGTAGGAACGACCCCAGTCGGCGCCCAGCTCAAGCCCTGCGCAGGCCCAGTTGGGGGCCATACGCCGAGCCTGCGCAGTTGGGGTAATTCCGGCCTTTGGGATCGCTGTCAGAGGTTTTTCTGCAGCCCCGCCGCGCGGGACCACGCTACCTTTCCCGGCAGCCCGCCTCCCCTCACTCCCGCCCCTTCCGTGTTTTGGCGCGCACCGGTTCCGTCTATCGCAGGGGCCATTGGCTGTTAGAGGGATCCGAGAGCGGCGATTGGCTATCGTTGGCCGTCTTTCAAGCGCCCTTCCGGATATGGTTCGAGGAGGGAGGAGAGCTGAAGAGACCCGGGAGCTGAGGGACCGTAAGATGAGGCTTTGTTTTGGCGGGGTAGCGTCGGTGGGTGCGCTGTGGGCGGGCTTCGAGGCCAGACTCTAACCCCAGTCGCCTCAGCAAAGCTTCCTCTTGCAGCTCGGCCTCGCTGGTCGTCCTGGCGCCTGAAGCGCCCCCGGCCTCTAACCCGGACTCTAACCCTCTTGCTTTCTCGTCTCTGGCTCAGCTGGTGCTGAGACACGGTCTGGTACCGCCACGCTTTAGGGGAAGGACTCCGGGAAGCCTGAGGGGCTGCGAGGGAGAGGTGTTACCCGCTGAGACGGTCTCCTTCTTTCTCTTCGAATTCTACCCGCCTTTCCAGCAGCCACATGCCCACTGCTTAGGGCAAGCCTTTTTGTCTTCGCTTGCCCACTGGGATTTCTCTCTGTCCCGATCTCCCTCCTCGGGCGCTTTGTTTTGGTCATTGTCTTCACACGTAGTCTTATCTTTTCGGCCAAATTGTGAGTCCTTAGGAGGTTCAGAACCTGGGGCCCTCTTTTTCTTGAGTACTGTTAAAGTTCATTCGGTACCTTGCATTACAATATGTACTTTTAAATATTTGCTCATTGCTTTTTACTGTGATTCCTGATGAAACGAAGTGTTAAGGATCCCTCGGGTTGTCTTTTTGGTGACCTTTTTGTAGAATTAGTGCTTGGATCTTACGCTCATTAGCAAGGGTACAAATAACACTTGTTGAGTTCTACCTGTGTTTTATGCTACACAGTTAAATATCTTGTGCCTAGTTTGGACCATAAATCAGTTCATTGAGACAGGCATAATTATCCCCATGCCGCTTAAGTAACTTGCCTAAGGTCACTTAGCTAGTAAATGTTGGAGCTTTCTAACAAGATCTATTGAATCCATTACGTGTTGCTGCGATATTAGTATCCCATTTTACATGTAAGGAAATAGGTTTAGAGAAGTTAAGTGATTTGTCCAAAAGTAAAGTAATAAGTTGTAGATTTATTTAAACATTAAAAGAGCCCCAGTAGGTATGTGTGGCCTTGCAGTTAGACTTGAACAGGGTAGGAGGCAGTCTTTCTAGTAGCTCACAGCTTATTGGAGTAAACTGACAAAATAAATACTTAATAAAATGTTTGGGGTAGTGTGTATACAGATACCAAATCTATAGAGAGGAGAGAATCAGACAAGGATAGGTAAGACAGGCAAATATAGAAGGAAAATGGAGCTAAACTCCCTGGCTTTAAATTCCGTTTCCATCACTTCCTAACTTTGTGACCTTGAGTAAATTACTTAACCTGTCTGGACCCATTTACTCATCAGTGAAGTAGGAGAATAATGGTACCTATATTCATGAGTTTGTGTACATATAAGATGCTTTGAACAGTACTTGACAGTTGTCATATTATTCTAGGCAGAGCAAAGTCGCTGAGACAAGAAACTTGAACCCAGGTTTTCCGACAGCTGGTCCAGTGTCCCCTGTAGCACACAGGTTGCCTCATTTTCATTTCTTGCCCACAGAAAGCATGGTGATCAGATAGTCCAGGTAGAAATAAGCAGGGCACAGAGAGAGAGAGAGAGAGAGAGAGTAAAGAAGGCTGGGGACAGTGAAAGAGGGATTCAGGGTGCTTTGCTAAGCTTCAAGATATTCTAGATATCTGAATAGCCAGACTTCTGGGCCTTACCCACCAGTCTAACAACAGCTATGAGTTTAAAATATTTGGACACAGTATAGGGGCACAGGTGGGTGTGAAATGGTTTCTGCTCTGAAGTAGCGATTACTGTTCAGTTGGGTAAATGAGAATAGGAAACATACTCATAACCACGAGTGACCGACCATGAACAGCATAAAAATAGGCTTGAGATTTTCTGTTGTTAGCTATACCAGCCATAGAACCAAGAGGCAAAAGTAATCTGAGGGGTGGGATAGTTTAGGAAGGCTTCCTGGAATGGGATCATATCTGGAGAGTACAAAGCTCTGTGCAGATTCTGGGCATAAGAAATGAAGAAGTGATCGTCTCTACCTTGAGAAGCTCTTAGTCTAGGGGGGACAGACATTCCATTCTATTCCATTGTAACAAGAGCCGCAATGAAGGTGTGTACAAAGTACTGTGTGGACAGAGTGTATGTAGAATAATCTAGGTATATGTACCTAAATAGGTTGAGAAAGGACCTGCCAAAGAGGGGACATTGGGGCTTGAAGGGTGAGTAGATTGCTTAGATAGAGGATTTTAAGGGAATGTAGTGTGTTTATCGATGAATATGATTGAATCAGAAAGGAAGAGAGAAAAATGACAGGAGAGGAAGCTAGAAAACCAGCATGGTATGCGGGGGAAGAGCACGATCTTTGGACGAGAATCAGGGTACTTTACACCAAATGAAATAAAGTTTAGAGAGGGCTCACCACAGGGCTGACACATGGTGGGCCTTCAGTATGTGTTAGTTTCCTTACCCGGCTTCTGGAGAAGAAAATTGATGCCAGTTGGAGAAGAGCCTTGCATGATGTTCTAAGTGGACTTAATCCTGCATGTAGTAGAGTCAAAGGAGGTTTGGGCTGTTATGT